TGGTAAGTGTATCTAATTTATGATTAATGATAGTATGTTAGTGATGCGATTGTTTTGTCAACGTGTTCATTTTTGGATGCATTAGGCACAAGTTATAGTCCTAACTTGTTTCAGTTTTGATTCATTACTTCTCCTCTTTCTCTTTTATTTCTTTTTTCCTTTGTCTTTCACTTTCTCCCTCTCTCTCTCTCTCCCTCTCTCTCTCTCCCTTTCCCTCTCCCTCCCCCTCTCTCTTTTCCTCTCTTTTAAAATAGGCAGCTGGTATTGAAAGGGCCAGAGATTACCCGTTGGATCACAGAGGGCAGGAGAGCTTTCTTGTCATAGTAGTGTTCTTCATTTGTTTTGGTGTTGCCATAGCTCTTCTCCTGCTTGGTGGCTGGAACATGTATCTTATTGGTAGAGGAGAGACGGCAATTGAGTTTTACACAAATAAAAGGGATGCCAGTGAATGCAAACGTGCCGGAAAGGTTTGGATTCATTTTAAAAGTTTTCTCATAATCTCTTCTCTCCTTTCTTTCCCCCCACCCATCAGAAGTTTGTCAATCCGTATAATCACGGTTTTAAAAAGAACTGGTATTTATTTCTTGGATTAAACACTAGAAGGTAAATACACACACACATATATATATATATATACTCCATATTTGGCATGCTCTTCTACATTAGATGTATCCATTATCAATTTTAAGGTTCAAGGACTATAATACATTGTACTATAATTGTCTTTTGTGGGGTCTAAGTGATAAAGGCGTGTAAAGTATTTTAGCTTGCGGCGATTTGACTCTACCATACTCTCCTCTGACCTCGAGAACAATTGTACAAATTGTAAATTAATTTGGGTCTCCCACTTGACCCTCTCCTCTCTCTCTCCTCTCTCTCTCTCTCTACTATCAGGATGTTTGTGTGTTTGTGTGTGGTATCATATGAAATGGATTGAGTGTTCATTCAAAATTACGTGCACACGTTACGATGGAGTAATGTTCTTATACTAATGAGCTATGAATCTGAATGTCATTTTGCCATGCTACATTAATGATACTCCATTCATAGGATTGAGTAGTATCCATGTACATCTTTGTTTGTCAGTTTGTCTGCTCAGTTTTGTAATAAAAGTATCCAAGTATAATCCAACTACCCTACCCATGGATCCAGAATTGTAGGAATGAGGATTTGGTAATTGATTGACAAATGGATGACAAATGGAGCCGTAAGCATTATAACCATGAGGCATTTATTTGCAAAGTTTTAGGCTGGATGTTGTTGTAAATATACTTGTGTAGTACTATAAGCAAAACAGATGTATATGCTGTACAGGTATGTGTTCATGTGTACTACAGGTTCATGTCATGTCATGTAACATGTACATTTCTGTACAATAGTACAGGGATTTTGGTCAAATTTTTGTCAAAAATCAAAAGTAGAAAACTCTTCATTTTAATAATTCTTTTCTGATACATATACATGTACTTATGTTGTGTAGCAAGTTTGAGCTGATTCTGAATAAAATTAGATTTTTTTACGATTTTTAAAAGTGACTCAAAAATCAGTAAAGTCCCTGTACAGGCTCACCTTTGGTCAAATAAAGTGTGCTGCTTAGCTCACTTAATATGCTTTGTAGGAAACCCTCGGTATATGTATTAGGTACATGTACTGGCTAGTTATTAATAGTTATAATACATCTATATCTTGTTCATTTTTCCTGTATCAATTTACATGTGTACTATTGGTAGAAATTCAATATGCCACAGGCAATTGTGATAATAATTGTTTAGCATATCACAATAAAATGGTCTGTGTGGCTTGTTTACATTTTACAAGTCAGCCCTACACTTTTGTAAAAGATCAACAAGTCAAGATACCTGCAAATCAGCCAATACATGTACATGTACCTGGGCCCAATTTTAAAATGCGCTTATTAATTTTAAAGATTTTTCTGATAATTATATCCCATGGGATGCCTTTTATTCATCTCTTGGTTTTTTCCCCAAGAGATATTTTACTCTTAAATTGTGCATGTATGTTGTGCAGCTGTTTTTATATACTTTAATTTAATGTCACAGTGTGTTTGCATAGGTCCACGGTTGGTATGTCACCCCTCACTGATTATTGACAGTAAATATTGTCCCTCTTTCAAATAATCCACTCTCACACTCAAGAATCTCCCTCTCACACAAGTCTTGGCTATACCAATGCATTATTTAAATTCTTCGTTATTTTCTCTCACGCGTACATAATTGCAACACACACACATTCAATTATTTACAGGTGCATGTACATGTACAATTGTACATGTACATGCATGTACATGTACATGCATGTAACTACGACATGGGATATTTTAAAGGTAAACATGTAGGTATGTATTATTATGTGTATGTTATAATTGCTGTAACTGCTATTGCGTGTGGTCACAGACTGTGTGTGTGTGTTTACAGTGAATCGTGTATTTATTATTATTATTATTGCATTTTTAAATAATTTTATAATTGACTGTTTTATTGATGATGTTTGCTAGTTAGTACACACATGTGTGTGGGGTTGATCTAAGTGGGATCCTGAGGGAAAAAATTATAATGTATACTTCTTCTTAATTTCTCTCTCTCTCCCTCTCTCTCTCTAAGGTCTTTCCTTTGTCATGTTCTATTACCGTCTGGCCACGCCCCTATTGAGGACGGGATGGATTGGTTGAGGTGTGATGCTCCGCCTACTAGCAACGGACTGGCATCATCAAACGTTTGATATTTTTATTATTAATAATAAAATAAATAATAATAATAAAATAAATAATAATAATAAGATAAATAATAATAATAATAATAATAAAATAATAAATAAATCGGATTTGTTTGTTAATTATTAAATTGGGGGAATTTATTGCTGACTTGATTTACTTTTTAAGCATTACAATGCAGTCGTTATTAAATGAAGGAACTTGTGATGCAATGAAAACTCAATTAATGTCAGTAATCTTTCATGATCAACCTAGTGATGCAATGAAGCAATGTGATATAATTACAAAGAGCTCTATATGTATTGGAACCATGATCTAATCATAGATACAACCATAGCAAAATTTTTGAATTTCAAATTTTTTAAATTGAAACGTCAAGTTCAAATTTTTTTATTTACTACGTATAATTAAGACATATACGGCAGACAAATTGTACTCCAGCCCATTATAAAAGCATGAGAGTTGGGGAAGAGAGAGGAAAAGGAGCAAAGTAATACGAGCAGAGAGAGAAATCAGGACTCGCTTTTTTCGATAGACTACAACCAAAAAGGAATAAGTGTAGGATTACAGGAGTTAGCGCCTGGAAGTTGACCGTAAGGTGAGACAGGATTGAATAGTGCATGATGGTAAAATAAAAGAGTGTGGCGGGGCGACTAGCCGTACCTCGTACAGTGTAGCTATGAATCTCAGCCAGAGGCTACTTCCCCCTCTCCGTTTATTTTCCCTACTGTATGGAGGAGATGAAAAGAGAGGGAGTCATGCTTTAGTGATTCTGTTAAGAGGGCTGTGGTTGTTTAGTCTTAGATGATCTAGTCCTTGTAGTGTGGGGGATTGAGATAGAGAGGAGGATTGATAATTTAGACAGCCTCCTCTTGTGGTTTGGTGTAACACGCATGTTCACAACCTCCTCCAGCCATACTTCCCAGCAGTCTTATCATTTTTGTAAACAGTCTGTCATTTTTGCCCTCGCAATAAAAACAACTGTATGTAAATACACTAGGGCCTATGTACACATGTAAACAAATATATGATCCTCTCTTCTCTCTTGTAGCTTGTAAAATGTCTATTTTCATGGAGAACGGACTTTATTTCCCAGAGGAGGAGTCTAATGACAGAGGGATTGAGAATGAGGTCCCTGGATTAGACTATCTAGAGGACGCCTCTCGCTCTGTAGAACTGGTCAGGGAGGAGGGGAGAGATGGACAGCTAGCCAGCTTTGGGTTTACTCTTGTTCAAGATAAACCTCCTCGTGTTGGGACCGTCATTCCTGGTAAGATAGAGTTAATTTCGATGTGCATGGAGACTGGTTTTGGATCAATAATACATTGTGTTGTCTATGTATTAATTAGCTAATGGAGACTAATGCTATAAAATATAATATACAAGAATTGTTTGTCACTATAATTCCTGTTACTTCTTACACTGTGACTACCTGGGGATAAGAGAGAGAGATGGGAAGAGGAGTGAACTCATATGTGTTCTTGTGTACTTTTTGGCTTTTTGGCTGACAGCCAACATGATGTTACTCTGTATTGTAACAATTTGAAATGAGGGGGTTACCATACCTATGCATGCATGTACATGTACTTGTATACTTGATTAGCATGAAGGCATTATGATCCTACATAAAGCAATTTGTTATTAATAATCTTCTAAATGTTCCATAAACAACCACCATACTTCAGAGCTGTTGCACTTCACGGAATCTCTTTAGTGTGGTCAGGGCTGTTATTAATATCGTCCTTTGCTATACCATACATCATTGTACAGGGCTGTGGGTCAGTATCAGGGTGGAATGTGACTTGTTGTGACAGTCCTCTTCGTTTATGGTTAATACCAATTATCCAATTATTATTTAATTCTTTCATTTTGTCCCTAGTACTCTAATTATCCATATCATCTCTCACCACCTGGTGCTGAGGCAAATATTTCAACCCCCACACTCCCCCATCCTCCCCTTTCTCCCCTAGCTACAGTTTCTAATAATCTTGTACAGATACACTTAGCTCAGTTTATCTCTTGTTTATCATGCATTTTATCAAAGGATCATAACGTGTACATACACACACATTTGTTATTATGCTTTTATGTGTCACTGTTTCATTCTGTTTCTCAGTACATACTGTACATGCTATGTACAGTACCACAGTGACCATGACATCTGTTACTTCTAGTAAACTCTTTTCCCAGTTGTATACATGTATGTATACATGTTTATTGTAGACAATGTACATATGTATACTTCAGTATCAAGTTTACATAATACTTACATTATGCAAACTTTATCTTATAAATTAGATTTGTCTATGTGATGTGTCTTGACTGGGCTGCTTGCGAAGGGAGAGCTAATTTGTTTAAGTGTTCTTTGTGATTATTGACCCAAAGCCATAATCATATTGTATTAATAAGATTAGTGACTAGGCACTTGTGTTGACTTGAAAATAACAATTTTTAAAATCTGCAAATTAACAATATGTACCTGATTGATCGCTTTAATCTTTCTCTTTCTCTCCAGGTGGACCAGCAGACAGGGCCGGCCTCAGAAAAGGCGAGATCGTTCTAAACGTGGCCGGGAAGGACGTGACTCGTTTATCCCACAAAGAAGTTACCTTGCTGATCCGTTGCAACACAGATACGGCCATTTGGCTCTCGGTCTGCGAGGCTGACGAAGCCCCAGGACTACAGTCTACCTCCTTCATGTCTTCTAGCCCACAGAAGAGCTTCTACTCAAGCACTCCAATACTTGTCTCTCAGCACGACGACCGTAGGTTTGGTGGGTCCGGCCTACACCACAAAGCCCTCAACAACAGTACTCTCCTTTCATCTCTAGGAGGAAGGGATGGATACCAGTACAGCAGCAGTCCTAGGAACAATGGACCCTCTCCCCTTGTTCACAAGAAAGCAATGACACAGAATGATCCAGCCTACGTTGAGTTTGTTCCTCCTCCTCCTCCTAGCTCCTCAGGCTACATCATGACTAAGATGTGGTGCATGCTCCTATACTGTGGGCCGGTTAAGATACCCTCGACTTTTATCCAGAGAGGAGTCAGCTCACAGTGCATCCAAGAGTGCGCAAGGCAGTTACTTGGGAAGAGGAAGTCAGATGAATTCGTTAAAGTCCATCTAGAAGTATCCCAGAGCTACATGAAGATTACAAACACCAGTGGGAATATATTTGCTAAGTATAAGAGGGATGGACTCTATTACTGCGGACTATGCAGTAATGATGAGCAGCACTTTGGTATAGTCACGCTCGACCCAGAGACAAACTCGAGGGCTGACATGTGCCATGTCTTTAAGCTCCTTTCGGACAGCAAGCTATCAAAGTACTGCATCGACAAGTCTAAGTCCCTCCGAGAGGTTCGTATTGGACAACCGACTCCTTTGAAAACGTGCGTCGAGATAACAGAAATCATACAGACGATATTCCAGAACGAGGTCATATCAGCTGTGAGCCACAGGAAGAGTATAGACGGATTGAGCGACAGCATTGAGTACGGGGTCGTACGTGGTGTCAACATGTTCCAACTAGCCCCTGGGAGCAACGACTCCATCGGTAGCCCAATGGTCACCACCTCTCCCATGCCTAAGCGCAAGAAGAGTGGCGTCATTGACTTACGAACGAATAAAAAGGACCAAAAGATGTTACCTAGTATAATACCAGGTGCTCACGGTAAACAGAGGAGTATTTCAATCCCGATCAACCCGTACGAGCAGAGATCCCTAGCTCACACCAGCAGTGCAGGACATGTCCACGAGCCGATACATGTTAGGATGGGAAGCGATGGAAGTGTCACATCCTCTACCCACTCCCCCTCCTCTCTTCCTCGTAACCGCACCCTCCCTACGATGCTTCTAAGAACTCACGCCCCCAGTGATAAAGCTAAGCGTATATCGGACTGTAGCCTATCGAGTGTCTCTTCTGATGGACACAGGTCTCATTCTGGCTCCTCGTCTCCGAAACACGGCTCCGGCTCTCCAACCCCCCAAGAGTCTCTACCTGTTAGACCTTTACCGAGAAGGCACTCACACCGCCACCCTCACGCTCTCCCCTCCTCTGCCCGCCCAGGGATCACTGGTAGAGTTAGCGCAGGTAGTTCAGGAGGGAGTGGTTTAAAGCGACAGGTGAGCTTAAAATTGAAAAACATACTCCACAGACTATAAGGTTGCGTCACTTTGTTGTATTATAAGTATTTTGTGTGTGCTTTTTTTCTTTTGTGCTTTCTCCCTCTCCCCCTCTCTATCTCTTGTGTATTGTGAGATATTATGTCAACATAAATTCGTCTGCATATTGTCATCAAGCAAGTCAACAAGCTTCTTCATTCATCTGTTTTGTGTTTTGATTGTGTATTATTGAAAAATAAACTTCACGCTTCTAATTATATATTTTCTATATTCTGTATCATATTATTATTATTATTTTTATTATTATTATAAATGTTTTACTTATCATTCTATACATACATTGTATACTCATACATTTGCTTTTTTAAATATTGATTTGAAAAAAATATATATATAATCAAACAACATCGATGGACAATTTCGGACAATTTATGTTGACAATATCTCGCAAAACTTCTATAAACTATCTCTATTTCTCCTTCTTTCTATCTTGTATGCAACATGAAATGAAGTGTGTGTGTGTGTGTGTGTGTGTGTGTGTGTGATAACTGGCATTGAAACGGACTGTGTGTGTGTGTGTGTGTTATTAAGCTTCAGCCAAAAGGAAGATTGAAATAGAGATAGTAATTCTGAGACTCTATGTCTTAGCAGTACATTAAATATGTACATGTACATGCATAAGATAGCAATTTGCTTCTTCTGGTGAGATATTCCATAAGCAGTTTCTGTGTCCATAAATGTCGTTTAAAATACATTGTAATGCATGTAGCACAAATGAAAAGGAAAGATATCATCAACTGTCATTAATGGTCATTCGCTGGCCCACACTTCATCTTCATAATTGCACTATTACTTGACCATATTTAGCTTGGCGAGGCTGCTTAAGCTACAATAAGTTTGAGCTAAATTGTTGCGAGCAGATGTTGCTTGAACTTGATCTCTTTGATTAGTAAATGATTATAAGTGTGACGTGATTTTTTGATGGGCCCACAAAATACCAATTGGGTCCATGTAGATGACATATGTTTATGAATTCCTTGTGAGCTGGTATGTTCTTGTTTGTTTTCTGTTGTTGGTGATTTAGTGGCTGCTGAATGAGTGAAGAATGTTGATAGTGTCAGTAATCCATTCACAGTCATTGTGTCTAGCTTTGTTAGGCTGTTTTGGTCCTCCTCACTTTCTGCTTTTTATACATGTACATCGATACTTACCTATTCTCTCTCTCTCTCTCTCTCTCCCTTTCTTACTTTCTCTCTCTCTCTCCCTTTCTTACTTTCTCTCTCTCCCTCTCTCTTCCTTTTTCCTGCTCTGTAATCTTCCCTTCTAGTTTGTTTGTCTGTAATGGGTTATATTTCATTTTACTATGATATGTTTGTGAAATGAACTACAGTAGTAAACTCTGTTACTACACTCTAATTTTTTGGGGAATTTTAATTACGTTTCTCTCCTTTTTCTTCTTGTTATTTCCTGCCTTTCTTCCCCCCCCCTCTCTCCCTCTCTCTTTCTTCTGTTTCTAGGGCTCAGCAAATTCCTTAACCGATCTTCCAGGTATGTAGTTTGTAATTATTATTCTGGGAAAGAGGATATGTATGCAACAAATGTGTAATTAATAATGCATTGGTACAAATCCCTCTGCTAGATATGCCAAGTATCGCAACTATGTGCACATGTACATGCACACATGTTCAGTTGCATATTGATACACCATATTGTGTGTTTGTGTGTGTGTGTGTATACATGTTCAGTTACATATTGCAATAATGTAATACGCCATATTGTGTGTGTGTGCGAGTTTTTATTGATATGTTTTGATTGATTTGAAATCAAAATTCAATTTTAGCTTTTATTGATTTGCGTATCAATAATATAGTCATTAATCATTATTGTTATATTTATTATTTGTGAATCAATAAGTGAGTGTTTATATGCGTTTGTGTACATTAATTCAAATTGCTCATTGGTACAAATAAATAAATAAATAAATAAATAAATAAATAGTTTGTATTGTCGGATGCATGTGCTTGTTATTCAGAATCTCTGTTTATTTACCATATATGGAATAAAATTTTAATAATGATTTAAGCAGGAGAGTATTTCTTTACCATCTGTCGATGGATAATCATCAAGTTATGCGCTAGTTGACAAACTGGTCTCCTATCAATTCCTGAAAACAGCTGTAACATATGTGTACATGTATATACAGTACATGTATGAATATGTGACTCATTGTGTGTGCGTGCGTGTGTGTGTGTGTGTGTTTGAGGAAGTTAGTTTAAGATACTGCTATTGAGTTATATCTTCAAAGGATATACTCTGACCTGTACTGCCTGGATGATTGATTTGGTGTTAATTTTAATTAGAATGTCCTCTTCTCTCACTCTCTGTCTCTGTCTCTCTGTCTCTGTCTCTCTCTCTCTTATTTGTGTTAATTATTATGTTTAATTCTTGTATCTGACGTGTTTTGTGAATTTGCTACCTTTTTTAGTTATGGCGTTGTTGTATACTGTAGTCCTTGATTTGCTTATTGAATCAGTCTAATTGTTTTATAAATTTACTTTACCTTGTTTACCATCTTTCTGTCTCTCCCTCTCTCTCTCTCTCTCTCTCCCTCTTTCTCTCTCTCTCCCTCTTTCTCTTTCTCCCTCTCCCTCTCTCTCCCTCTTTCTCTTTCTCTTTCTCTTTCTCCCTCTCCCTCTCCCTCTCTCTCCCTCTCTCTCCCTCTCTCTCCCTCCCTCCCCCCCAGGTCTCTCCCCCTATCATCCTCTTGGTCTTCCTAAAAAGAACTCTCTCCTAAGCTCCAGTGTTGATAGTATCGTTACCATAACAACGCTTGCTGAGGACGACATTGTAGTAGGGCAGGTGGCTGGCTGGTGTGGGTCATTCGACAAACTGCTTGAAGATCCTCTAGGACTAAAGTGTTTTGAGGTACATTATATATCACATGATCTATTTATAGTATCACATGATCTATTAATAGTATCACATGACTGTCATGTGACGTGATGTAGAGAGAGAGAGAGAGAGGAGGCAGTGAGATGTATATATATATGTACATGTAGTTGTAATAGGAGAAAATGTTTAGGCAATGAATGTACGTGTACATGTATTTCAGAGATTTGAATTATGACACATGTGCTAGGGGGAGAAGAGGAGGGAGTAGGAGAGGGATAAGGGAGCAGATCGTTATGGAGCCGTGCTGTCTGCATTGTTTGAATTCTTGTCACAAGATTATGCCCATAGCTTCAGCCAAACTGGGCCATAGCTTTATCATTAAATGATTAAATTCCACTAATAGCCAATTTACTAGAGACTGAGCCTGACTTGCATACCGCGAATCCACATGTACGTCTAGTTTTTCATGAACCAAATGCCGAGAAACTTATTTGTTTATTTTAATTGCAAATTTATAACTCTTGTCGTTCGTAAGATATGCTGTTTTTGGTGTTGTCTGTGTTGTTGCTTATCATACTGTCTGCCTATTCATTACTATACTGTACATGGATGAGAGATTAACTGACAATACAAGTACATGTACATGTATTGTATGCATGAGGTAATGAGCCCTTGGCTTTGTTTAATGGTATGTCAAAGAGCGAAAGTGGATATGAGTTAATAACCATGGGATTTAGTTAACTACATATACATATATGTACATGTACGTACATGTATACATTGTCACCACATAATGTCAGTATATTGGGAAAATGATGACTTCACTGACGTGTTTTTAACACTCACACAATTAGGAATGTCATTTACTACACTCTATGCATACAGAGCTACATAGTACAGCGTATGTACATGTACATTGACACATGGCCAGTGACATAGTTTACATTTCATTTGGTTGGTGGAGGTTTTGTCATGGTGACAGGAGTGCCTTGTATGTATTTATTGTCATTAGGAACCATTACCTCATTTGTTGTCATCGTTGTGTGTTTTCTAAATATAGCATTGTGATAGAATATGATGGAAGTGTTGATACATGTACTCATGTACTGTTGTTCACGTAATTATTAATAGCAACCAATTATATACTGATTGAGTGGGAGAGAGAGAGAGGGAGAGAGAAAGAGAGAGAGAGAGAGAGAGAGGGGGGGAGAGAGAGAGAGAGAGAGAGAGAGAGAGGGAGAGGGAGAGAGAGAGGAGAAATGTACATCATTTGTATGAAAGGGAGGGAAAGGGAGTGTGTTATTTTCACATGTCAGCAAGGAACTAATGCCAAGTCAGTTCACATATCAAATGTTTACATGTTGACATTGAACCTTTATTTACCCTCCACGTGATGCGAAAATTCATTTTTAATTTTGTTGACACGTACCTCCTAGCAAGTATCCTTTGTGTCGAATTATGCTTCACAATCTTGCGTTAGGTGTATGTAAGATGTTTGACCAACAGGTTATTAGTTGGTTTGCACATTTCACTGATGTGATTATTGTACTAGTCTTTGTTAGTATTATTATTGACAGTGTGGTTCTAATTTGTTGTTGTGTGTCCGTGTGATTTCTGTTTGTTTTAAATGTAAATCAATTGTTGTCTTGTGTGTGAGTGATGCCCTACGAACAATCGCACATGTGTATATACAATGTACTTCATTTATGGATGCTTGGAATTATTGGTATTTTAATTTTTAATTCTTTCTCTTATTCTATTACTTTTCTCTCTCTCTCTCTCTCTCTCTCTCTCTCTCTCTCTCTCTCTCTCTCTCTCTCTCTCTCTCTCTCTCTCTCTCTCTCTCTTTCTCTCTCTCTCTCTCTCTCTCTCATAGCAATTTCTGGAGAGAGAACACAGCGAGGAGAACATTCATTTTTGGATAGACGTCAAACAGTTTAAAGTGACCCCAGAATCAAACGTAAGCTAAACTCATTTAACTAATTGATCATGTGTGCTATTGACACAGTGTATACAACCTCTTGCAATGGTTGATATAGCAACATCTCTCTAATAAAATTTGACACCTTTTGTGTCGCGAAAAATGCAAATTAATAAGTACATATACATGTGTCTTATATATAAACTGACACTTTAATTAAATACTTGCTGTGTATAATTGCTCTATTATAACTTAGTGTGAAATGTCTGTAATATTATGTGCTATATCTGTACTCTAAATTAATATTATGATCTACAGATGCATGTACAGTGTATTAGATAATAGTGCTAATAGTGTAATTACTGATTCTGTGAATAGATGGTATGATAGTCTCTGTGAGCCCATTTTGGGTCAATGTCTCCTGTTTTGTCAACATGTCTTTAGATCATAACCACATCAGACTCTCTCCTCTTTTTGAATCAGATTCATGTCTTTTTGTTATTTTTAAGATTTCTTTTAATTACGTGTGACGATGATCACGATTAACATCATCACCCTCTCTCTCTGTAGGTTTCAGAAGCCTCTAGACGTATTTATGAAGTGTATTTGGCTCCTAATGCCCCTCAAGCTATTAATATTGATGACAGGGTACACAAGGCAATAGAGCCACTCCTGGAAACACCAACAAGACACATGTATAATGAAGCACAGAAAGAAGTGAGACCATTTAATGAATATAGTTTAATCTTTTTAAATCATAAAATATCTACATAATGATGAATATTAAAAGGGAATCAATGCAACTTATGTTCACATGCGAAAATTGTTGAGTAATGGCCATTTGTAAATGGGCCAATTTTTGAAAAGTACCCAAGGCTATAGCCCATGGTTTTTTCTAAAAAATGGCTCCGAAATCATCCCCAATTTTCATTACATTTTCTGATACATATTGATGTACTTATGCTGTATAGAAAGTTTGAGCTGATTTCGACTTCAATTTTTGAAGTTACGACCATTTTAAAAAAGTGCCAAAATTCTGAAAAGTACCCAAGGCTATAGCCCATGGTTTTTTCCAAAAAATGGCTCCAAAATCACCCCCAATTTTTATTATATTTTCTGATGCATATTGATGTACTTATGCTATATAGAAAGTTTGAGTCGATTCCGATGGAAAATTTTCAAGTTATGGTCATTTTTAAAAACGAGCCATTTTTTGAAAAGCACCCAAGGCTATAGCCCATGCTTTTTCCAAAAAATGGCTCCGAAATCACCTCCAATTTTTATTACATTTTCTGATACATATTGATGTCCTTATGCTGTGTAGAAAGTTTGAGCTGATTCTGATTTCAATTTTTCAAGTTACGGCCATTTTAAAGAGTGCCAAAATTCTCAAAAGTACACTGTACTATAGTACAGGGTCTTTGGCCCACATTTTTAGCAACTTAACAGTCCACTGACAAGAAGCTGCGTGAGCAGCACTATGCCAAAATCCTGTGGGGAAAGCCTATGATATTGTTTTATATCCCAAATAGGGAGTTCCTTATAGCAGGAAGAGCTGTCTGAACAATTTCTACTATAATGTTCCCACTGTTGTTTTTGTTTGCCATACACAATACCCAAATTTCGATTGTTTTCAGTTGTAAGACAAATTCCCCTTATTTATAGAGAGCATGATTCAAACAGTGAGATGGTAATTTAACATAATTATCGAGTGTTACTGTCGTGTTGATGATAAACTGAAATCTTTTAAAAGAAAGAAGCCATTTAACCTACTGTCACACATATATTCGTCCAACCATTATCGGCTTGTGACTCCAGTGGTCATGCACATGCACACACACACACACACACACACACACATATATGTACATGTAAATACACTCTCTACTTATGTACAATGTACATGTAAATACACATACTTGTACATGTACATGTACATGTACATGTACATGTACATGTATGTGTAGTTTAAGTTACATGTAATAGTCTAAGTTTGGGCACTTTCAATTACATGTAATTAACTTGATTTGAATTCCTTGCTCAAAATAACCTTTTAAGATGCTCCTAGTAATAAGAACTTTGAGAATAGAAACTTTTAAAATGATTGCAGTACTACATGTACCAGCTGGTACAGTGTATGTGAACTAATGACTGTTGTGTTTGTTTTGAGTTATCCTCTCTACACAATCAACCCACAGCTAATTCTTCACTTTACAGTCAATACTAAGTTAGAGTCCTTTCAATATCATTCACTTACATTATGATTTAACTTACACACACACGCACACACACACACACGTACTGCTGGTGCTTCACTGTATAGTGTCCTAATTTGTTTAGTTCTACATAAGGACTGGAATTGGTTGGTTTCAGTCGATTCTTGGAATGTTAACACGCACTACTATACTGGCTCTGTACCTGGCAGGGCTTCATTGCCTTCTATTGAATATTGTTATTTATTTATTTATCCTGTTTGCTTGGATTAACGATAGAGAATTACTATACTTCTTGTTCCCTTCCTCTTCTCTCTGTCTCTCTCTCTCTGTCTCTGTCTCTTTGTTTCTGTCTCTCTCTCTCCCTTTCTCTCTATCTCTGTCTCTCTCTCTCTTCTAGATATATCGTTTAATGAGAATGGACAGTTATACCAGATTCAAAAAGTCCGAGATTGTCAAGGAGTGTCTATATGCTGAGATGGAAGGTCGGCCACTCCCAGTCTCACTAGATGGTAAATCCAGTCCGTCAGCGAGGAAAGAAGGGGGTGGAGTCAACGGTGTTGTTGGATCTGGCGGAAAAAAGAAAGTTAGTTTTTTCTCAGTTTGTGTTTGTGTTTAAACTGTTTTGAGTTGAGTATGTCTTTTTAATTACTTGTGAATAGTTATACTTCTTGATTAATTGAGTGTACGTTTGTGTGTGTGTGTGTGTATGGTTGTTCTATGCTACTTCTGACATCATTCATCATCTCTCCCTTTTCTTCTCTCTCTCCCCCCCCTCTCTCTCTCTCTCTCAGACTTTCCTCAGTCGTATTAAGAGTATACCTGGCAAGTCTCTAACGACTCCATTGCTGTCTCCAACTGGACCCTCAGCTGAACATACTTTATCAAGAAGTGCCGAGACTAAGAGATCAAAGAAAGAAAGAAAAGGTAGAGAGAGAGGGGGGGAGAGGGGGGGGAGAGAGAGAGAGGGGGGGAGAGGAGAGAGAGAGAGAGAGAGGGAGAGAGGGAGGGAGGGAGAGGGAGGGAGGAAGAGAGAGAGAGAGAGAGAGGAGAGAGAGAG